AATCCGACCTACTACATAATTAGTACATCGCAGAATGCAGAGTAGGTAGTAGTGGATACAATTTTTGCTTGAAGCAAACCTTTCAACTTAACGAACAAAGTAATTTTCGTTCAAAGCCCCAGGTATAGGGCCAATGAAAAGAACAGAATTTTCGCGGAAAAGTATACCAGAAGGGAGGGAAAAACGAGTTTCCCTGTCGGAAACACTCCACGCTTTCCCACGTTCAAATCATTCGACGAGTCGTAAAGACTGCTGGCTGTAAGTGCCAATCCGAAAATAGCATTGCGTAGTATTGCTCGTAAAAAATAAACATAATCGATGTACTTACGTCGTCGCTACGTCTTTATGGACAACCATGAATTACATAATTAATAAAAACGATATACATCAACTAAGCGTAATATAACTACACTTAAGAATGAAATAACTCACGTTATTCTACAGCTAAAGTTTAACTTTTTCTTTAAATTCTTTTTAACTTTTCTGAAGAACTAACACAATAGATAGACATCAGAATACAGAATTTAGTCATTAATTTGGAAATTAACAATTTTCGTCCCTCATCTTTTTTGTATTTTTAAATCACATTGTGCATTGATAGTGGATATAATGATAAACATAATTATAGTTATTATCATATAATAATAAAAGATAATTAAAAATTTAATAATAGAAAAAGTTATCGGATTTTTTGTCCGATTTGAATACTGCGATACAATAATTATAGCCTTTTGCCTCTGAAAACTAAAGATAAGGCATATAAGAGTAACTTTAAACATATAAATTATATTTAGAACTTTCGCAAGTTTACACGTGACTCATATCCGGAAGAATATATGCGCGTGACTCTTAGATATTAATCGACGACCTAAAACAATACGTACGAGCAATGCTACTTTCAATTACTTTCACATCATGCGCTTTTCTTTGCAGTGGGGATAAATGTCGAACTTGTGTTATGGGCGCAATTATATTCACTATCTCACTTCAATTAAAGCAACATAATGGAAATGCGAAATACTACTAGATTTAAGCCCATGTTTTAGATCTTATTTTCTTTTAAAGAAAAACTTGAATCACATCTCACAAGATTTTAAATAAAGTTAAAGATCACATAAAAATAAAGATAAGAAAATAAATAATTTTCTAACTTTACATAGAAATACGAAAGTAATCATAGCGCAAGGGACACTGCCTGCAGCAAACCTTTACAATGACAATCCTTAATAAGCCTGGCTGTGTCAAAAGACAACATGGATGGATCTCTTAAAAGTACAACGTTCTCGACGTTCACGTAATTTTATAAAAGCTTTCATTTATCAACATTATAAGGACTCGCCTTTACTTATCAACATGATATCGAAGTCGAAGTTTCTTTTCTTCCGAAGAAAACATGATATTTGAACTATATCGCGGTGCACGAAAGAAATGAACCAACACGCGTTAATGAGGATACCCGAATGACACAGCGAATTGATAACGCGTGCAATTACAATTCATGACTCGTTCGCTTTCAGATTTGTAATCACGATCATTCCGGCTCATGACGAAAGCCTAAATTTAAACCCACGTTTCAGAAACAGCAATGTATTCAAAAATAAAATTAATCACAAGACACATAAATAATCTATTAAAATCTCAACAAATTAACTCTTAAAAAAGTATAGCATCTTGAGAAATGGTTAAAATTTCATATTTAGAATATATATTTCACAATAAGTATACACGAAAGTATACTCTCTGTTTTCAATATTTTTATAAGTAAAATAAGGATGCTGTGCAAATATTTAAGCACAAAAATAAAATAATTTATATACAACAAACTATTACTGTAACATCAAAATTAATTAATTATTCGATTTTAAGACAATTAAATAGCTAAGAAATTTTTGCATTATTGAAATAAGCGACGCCTCAGGATTTGTAGAATTGCAAATACTATTTTCGTTATGCCCTAGTTACGAGGCTGCACTCGGAATCGTCTCCTCGCGTATGTACACATCATGCGTACCGAATAACGAATGAATCATACCGCGACGTTGTGTATGCAAAATTGCGACGGTTCACTTTCTCCTCTCAGTTCCGTCCTCAATTACATGGGTTCCCGGAGTGGGCCTCCGTGTAATTATACGGATGAGAAGCCTCAGCAGGCCACGTGCGCGGTCGAGTGAACTGTGCGTGTAATAATTTTCTTTTTCGGACCCGAAGACCCCTTTCACTCGACCCGCTGGCATGAGACCCGGTTTCCTTCCCGTTCAAGAAAGTGGCTTTTTCGTTACAAAAATACAAACATAAATAACTTTGATTACTTTAACTTGTTGATAACTTAAGATTTTAAAAATTCGAATAATATTCTTTGCTTACTATTTAATTATTTTATTGATATCTGTACGCAAAAATTCCCGATATCTAAAAATAAGTGATATGAGAGTAAAGGCTCTCACTTTACGACAAAACATTGCGAAAAGAAATAGGAAACGGAGGGAGGTATGGTGCACGAAGGACAGAGGCTTCAGTGCAACTGGTCTCTGACGTTTCGCAATCCGACGAGCGTAAATCGCGAGACACAACAAATGGAGGAGACACCTGTAGGCGACACGCAAGTGACACAAGCACAATGGGCACACTTAGGCCAATTATGGCGCAATCGTAGTCACGTTACTTCTGGGAACTTGCGACGACGATGCCGCCAAGAGATCCTCACTGATACAATGCGCATAAATTTGTTTCCGGGATTTGGACTCCCACACCGCAAATTCCCAAATACGTCTATATAAATCATTATGTATACTTAGGCATACGCGCGTTCACCGATCTCGCGAAAGCGCTTACAACAATCCGCGAACTCTGCCGTGTACGCACGTTCAAAGGCAAACCAATTTGCATGTAACCTTATACGAGCGATACGCCGTTAACCATTAGGGGAAGAAACCGTCATTTTTATGCATGAGCTTTAACCCTTTCAACTTGGCTGCTAAACGCCAAACTATTAATATTAAACATTTTCAGTTCAAATTTATACGTTTCCGCGAATTATGGGTTATGTACGTACAATAAAAATTTATACAACATTTTCTTAAAGTTCGTACTATTATAAAAGACTAATGAAAATTGTTTTATAAGTAGTTTGCGAAAGATAAATTAAAAAATCATTGAACGTTCACTGTTTTTTTACAGCTTTCTTTTTAAACCAAACATAATTTTGTAATTGCGACATAGAATAAAAATTATGTCCACAAATTTATCTATGATTCATTATTTTATCATTATTATTGTTGTTGTTTAATCTGATGGTGTACATTCGCAATATTGAATTTTTGCATAGTTTTCATTGCATATTTTTTTTCGAAAAAACATCTCGACTTATATCTTTCTGCTTCTTAAATGTACATATTGTATATTTTATTCCCTATTGGAATAAGAATATTTCGACAAAAATAAAGAAGATGTAGAAGTGTTCGACTGCGGTATTTTGGTAAATACAGATATGCTTTCAGGATTATTTCACACATGAGGATGACTCCGTGTAAAATGAGAAAAACAAAAATAAAAGGAAAAAAAGACAAGCTAAAAAACAAATGTGAAAGGAGAAAGGAAAAAGCGAAAAGGATGACGAGTGGGAACATCCTAAGACCGTGAAGAAGAAACGGCGGAGAAGCCGCGAAGAGATGACTGGCAACGATGCACGGTGGTAGTGTTGCGGTATCGAATAGTAAAAGTCCCGGAGAACAATGGATAAACGGAATGGTACAGCCGAGACCTTTCAGGCGATTTCAGGATAACCGGCAAAAATGCGCACAACACAATGGATAGGAACACGCCTTCTGACGCGGGATCCCTTCTTCATAACCGCGACTCGGTCTTCGCGTTCGTTTTCCACGGAGCGTAAACCCAAGCCACCCACCCACCCTTGGGCACACCCACCCAACCGATCATGCGCGAACTCGAAGCAGATTACTTGTAAAAGCGCGCTTATCTGCCGCCAATATTCTTCTTTTATATTCTCTTTTGAAAAAGACGGACTCGATTATCAAAAAGATGTCTGTAAAGCTCAAGAGCTCAAAAGCTCAACTCTACAAACAACTCTATTGCCTAAATATTTAGACAAAGCATTTTTTTTTATTTTCTATATCCGTTTCTCCAAAAAGGTAGATCTTATTTTTACAAAAAAGCATTGCTTTTTTTATTTAAAAAATTGTTCCTATAAGCAAATATTTTTTTACACTAATAATTCCCTACAACTCAAACGAACATTTATAAGAGATTTAATGTTTTCTTTTAGATATTATTTCTGCTTTTTATAGATATAATTCTTGCTTTTGTGTCTCATCTTTTCTTTTGAATATTTAACATAAATGTATTAACATAAACTTGTGAGCTTAATATTCAATTATAAACTTATTTAAAAATAAAACTATGCACATAAAGTCTCAAAAAATCTAGTAATAATTATTAACACAGTATTAATTTTTTAGAGCGTTTATATGAAACACAGGGCGTCATCTGTACAGTACATCCATACTGTGGCAGAAACGCGTTCAACGTCGCGCAGATAAAATAGTCATTCTTTTTACCGACAATTATATTTTTTTCTTTTTTTAACTTAACGTGGCTTGATTTCGATGTTTAGCTGTTGGAAAAACTAGAATTTGTCTGTTCTCTTAGAATTTATTTATCTGCATTATCTGCTTATCACAAATTAAATATTAATCTCACACGTTCGTGTTAATATAATTATATTAGTTTATAACTGAATATCAATCTCACACATTCATGTCAATACATTTATGTTAGTTTATAATTGAGTATTAATCTCACACGTTCATGTTAACACACTTATGTTAACTATCCAAAAAAAAGACAATTTTATTTCATAAAAACAAGAATTATATCTTTAAAAAAAGGCAAGAATACCTAAAAAAAAAAAAAAAAAAACGTGAAATCTCTTATAAATGTTCTTTTGAGATGCTTCTCCCAGCAAATAAAATGTTTTCACTTACCTTGTAAGTTGTCCAACATGTATGTCAGCAGCTTGTTCGTTCCTGCAGGCTCTCCGTTTCCATACAATGTCATCACCTCCTTGCTGAGTGGATTTCCTTGAAGTCCTAGCACTTGTAACTGGAACAACTTCCCTAATTCGTATGGTAACACGCGAAGAAAGTTTTGGTTCAATAACAATTCTCTGAAATAATACAATGAAAAATTTCAAATGAGGAAAAGCTTTCAGGTTTATTATTACGTTTTACCATTTACTTTTGTTTATTTTATCTTACCTGAGGTAGATAAGGTCCCCCAGTTCAGCAGGTAAACTACGCAGTTTGTTGCTGCTGAGATCAAGAATGCGCAAGTTAACAAGACGACCAATTTCAGGTGGCAACCTCTGCAGACTGTTGTCGTTCATGTACAAAACTGTCAGATGAGTCATTTGCCACAAGTGAGGGCTTAGATTTCTTACACTGCCTGTTATCTCCAAATCTGACCAATGAGATTTTTTTCCTGCTTGAAAATCCTCGGGGGACATAAGCGTATACATACGACGTGGATTGGAGTTCTCATATTTGTCCTTGTGGTTGCGGGACATGTTATAATATTCTGAAAAAAACAAGACATTTTTCTTAAAATAATAATTTTGTATAAACTTTGCAATTCTTTCAGTTTAACTGCCATGCATCTGCATAAAATTATTCTTTGCATATAGATATCAAGAGAAAAGAATATGACTGATTTTAATATAACCCTCACACACAAACTTTGATTTGAAATATCCATAGATTTATTTTATTACGTTTATGTGCATCTATTGCAATCTAAATACTTATAAACAAATGTTCTCATACATCTTCCAACTTAAAAGTACACTTGTAAGCAATTCCTATTACTTTCAAAAAAATAGAAAAGAAAAGATGAATATATCTAAGAAATATATGATGTCGAATGTATAATTAACACTCGTGATAAATCAATTAACAGAACACTGGTCAAGCGTATACTTCAGTGATCAATATTCCCACGTGAGAGACAATAGAAAATCTAACAACATATAACAATTCTGTCATGTGCCAAATAGAAAAACGACTCAAAAAATTACAGTTACGTAAAAATGGCGCAGACTAATATTACGGGATACACAATTCATTTGTTTTTGTCTATTATCTACTAATTACACATCAACCCATATAAGCCCATAACCTATGACGAAGAGACCGAGTTTTTGCGATCGAACTGGCCAAGCGTAGCAGAAATTCGCCGATTTCGATGCAAAATGTGGCATTAGATTGACAAAAAAAAAATTAAATCGCACGTGGGTGAAAATTTTGACCAAGTGATGGCGAATTTTTTCGGTGTCAACTACTTGTCCTGCTCCGAGAAGGATCGTACTCTCACGACAAGTTAGTGCGTTTACTCGATTTTCTCGACGAGGATATGACGGTGGCTGCTGAAAATAATGACTCAAATGCAGAAAGACATTACATACCTTCATCTACCTCTTCAGCACAAACGAGACGCGCGAAGAATTGTTACCGAGTGAAAATTCCGCGTAAACAAAACTACCTTGACAAACACGAATCCTCCATTTATCAACTGCACCGATCGTGCGCCATACGAAACTGCCCGATTGGCCGAACCTACCCGAAGCAGCCGACGTGCCGAAAGATTTGTGAGCAAAGCGCAACACTAAAATTCACTAGAAAATTTGAGCAATAGATTACCCTGCACCTCCATTTTGCTCATTCAAAATTATTTCTATTTTTAGGAAAAGATTTTAGCGCAAATACATAATAATTTTAACAATAATCTTTCTTCAATTTTTTTGCCATTTAGCTTTCAAACACATTAAGTTTTTCTAAAAAACATAATAATATATTGTTTAAAAATTGTACTTTTCGACAAAACATTTATATTTTGTTTCCTTATAGAACATATTTAATGATATCTTATTACGATACACACGTAAAGCGCCACGAAATTAAAAAACTCCACAACCTTCCGAAAAGATCTACATATTTAGCAATATTTCATTGCACTTTTGATATTTTGGCAAGAAGAAACCGTTGAAATTTATGAAAATAATTTTAGTCGATTTTAAGCATACTAAAGCAAACCGCCGATACCAAAATTACAATTACATGACATATTTTATGTGTTACGATAAATGTTCAACTCCACGATAAAATTTAGTGCACAAAATTGATTTTTAAACAATAATCATCGCAAAAATTACGGAGCAATGCAAACCTTGCAACTACATTACAGCCATAGATATAGAATAATATAGATACCGGAGTGAAGTTTGAATTTCACTGCAGTGTGTTCTGAAATTAACCACAATTCTATTGCAAACTGATATTACGATTGTGCAATTCGAAATATTTTTGTAAATATTAAAAATGTTTGATATAACAAATTATTACAAGAACTATTAACGCAACTAATTATAAAATAAAAGATATGTACATATCTGACAATGATCATACCTTTTACATTTTTTATATTCTTGTGAGAAATAATACTGTACAAAAAAATATTTCAATATTAGTAGTATAGAAAAGCAAATTCCCGATATTAAAATTACAATAATAACGATTATACGCAATATTTAATACTAAATAATAATAAATTTTTGACACTATATTCGCAACAATTATTATTTCACACGCAATATTTCTTTTGAAACTTACAATCGCAATAAATATATAGAAATTTAAATGTAAATCTGTAATACAGTTTGTGACTAACTTTAATTGAAAATCTTGGAAGAATAATAATGCAATTTCCAAAGTATCAAAACAGTTGACGTAACGTGAATTAATTGCAATGCTTATTTAAGTAATTGCTCATCAGCAATTAAATTCGAAATATTTTGAGAATTATGAGAAAAGACAGCTGAAATAGTGGATTGATTGTAATAATATGTTTAACATGCAAAATTTTTAATAATATTAAAATATCAAATTAATCAAAGTAGTAAACTAATTGCAAAAATTATTTAGCATATTAAAATTTGAGCAAAAAATATTTTTATAGAATATTCAATAATACTAAATAATTAAATAATTCACATAAAATTCTAAACGTTTAAAATATTTACGACATAAAGCTTAAAATCAATCTCAGAATATTATTTTTCAGATGTTTGACAAATCTGTCCGTATGGATATTTTGAAAACAAATTGTTTTAATAGCAATTATTTTTTAAAATATTTTAAATAATTTCTGAGTTTTACTTTACCTTTTTTTTCCTGTGTAAAGGCGTTTAACTTTGAAAAGTTCTGTGTTTTAAACGGTGAATGTCTAAATTTCTGTTTGTTTCTGTTGGTTTCTATAGATGTGTGTGGCATATTCTGTTGCTGAACTATCGATTTATTGATTCCACAGCTTTCGATATTTGCAGTAGTTGATTGTTTTATTGATACAACTGGTGCTACATTAGCTGTTTTAACTTTTGTATGAACTAAAAGTTGATTAGATGAATTTTGTTCTTCCATTTTGAATTGCTTTTGTTGTGATTCATTCGCAATGTCTGATCGATGCAATTCAGAATCAGTTTGATTCATAATAGATCCGACTATTTGAAAATTGTGTTCTTGCATTTGAAAATCTTGAGTTAGAGATTGAGAGATGTGAGAAAACTTTGGATTTGTAGTACTCAAGTCCATTTTCTTTTCACTGACCAAGTGATGCGTAGGATAGATTGGCTCTTCAGAATATGAAGTAATATTTAACATTTGCATTAAATTTCCTGTCTGCAATTTATTGTCGTCGAATGACTGGTATGGAACAGATTGATTGTTCTCTGAAGTTCTATTTATATTTAGTACACCCTTTAACATATCTGTTTGATGTTGACTGGGATTCTGGATGCCAGATTGCATATGATAGATTGGAGATGAAGCAGTAGTTTGAAGAAAACCTTTAAAAAATAAGTTCAGCTTTTAAAGATTCTATATATAAAACTACAAAATCATATAATAAAATATAATAAAAAAATCTACAAATTAGATATCTGCAAGAATAGTAGCAATATAACATTCTTAAATACATTTTTCTATATCTTATGGGCTATATAAATTTGTTTAAATTTTAAAATATTATAATCTTAACGTATAATATAAACCTTATTGTATTTATTAGCTTATGTATTTTATAACTTTTTCAGAATCTGTTTAAGTTTTAAAATATTATAATCTTAACGTCTAATATAAACCTTATTGTGTGTATTTATTTATAATTTTTTCAAAATGTAAATTATTTAATTTGCTCCAAGAAGCAAAAAATAAATATTAATTAAGAGTGCAAACTAGCGATACATTTAACGGTTATTTTGAAGCATTTGTTGATCACAAATACTCCAACCGCATCAACTTTTGAACTGAAGCATTAGAAAGACCAATATATGTTTTATGTTGCAACGAAAATTTACCTGATCTTAATCCTTACCTAAACATTATTCTTTTATAAAAATACTTACATTGCGAGATACAATCACTCATAAGAAATGTTTTTTGTGAATAATTATCAGATGTAACAATATTTTTTATTATAGAAATAAAAATATTATCAGAAGAAAAGTCCCTAAAAAATACGTTTCTCCTATTGGATATCTGAATATCGCATGTAATATCGGATGCATTGTAAATGTACCATTAGGTACATGGACTGCGTTCGCTTTGGACGCTTACATGCTGAAAGCGTTATTCTATCTTTCTTTGACGTATAATGAGCAAAAAAGATAGACTGATGCTTCAGCGCATGAGCGTCCAAACCATAGACATAGGAATAAGGAGACGGAGTGTAAAGCCGAGAGCACAAGCTTTTACATAAAGCATAACGCATAAGACATAAGGAATAGTAT